AATCAGAATCTGTTACCAATCGACAAGGCTAAAAATCTTCTATTTATCTTTCATATTATAAAAATACATTGCTCAAAACTTTTATAAAATGAATTATTTAATGTCTACTTCTCAACAATATCTTGCAATACGTGTTATTTTATATGGCTAATAAATGAAAAAAGCTTCCAACACCATATCATATAAAAATATTGAAATTTCTTTAGTTTTTGTGTACACTTCATTAGTAACATTCATCAGGATGTTATAATTTCAGTAAATGTATTTTTATTTATTTTTTCTTTTTTTTTTTTACTTGTTCCGTGCTCCACCTTAGCCATTATACGGAAAGGAAGGAATGCCTGTGGTGGTCGTTTTAACGAAACCTTGCTCGTATCCACCTTACACATGGAAAAACCACAAAATCGTCCATGTGACTAGCCCGTTCACCAGGACTCCAACCCCGAACCAAACTACCAGCGTTCAGCGGCTTTTATCGCTCGGCCGCGGGTGGGTCAGCAAATGTATTTGAGGAAAAAAATCTTGGGTTTCTTTGATTGTAGACGGATTTCTTTTTGTGCTACATGCACATTATTTTCTCGATTCCTCTCCATTTAACGCTTCTTTTGTCTCTAATTAAGAATATTCTATGGGGTGAAAATTTCAGATATTTTGAATTATCCAAAACAATGCGGTGGCTAACCTTTCACAATTTCAATCGAGGAATTAAATGCCAAGTGCTTGTAATCTCCTATTTTACATAAATCCCTTAGAGCTCTAGCTGTCCTATTGGCTGGCTTCAGAACAATGGTAATTCGATCTGAGTCAAACCCAGACGAACGACTACACAGGTGTTTTCCTAGTTTTCTCCAATAAAAAGCATGAATACGATCACAGTTTCCCTTAAAATGTCTCTCTTGAAGGTATCTCTTCGTATAGGTAGCTAACCTTCGTGTGTTTTGCCATATTTGAATTATCTTATTCATCCCTTATTCCCTAATTGACTACAAACAACTCCTAATATTTAAAAATCTTCAAATGAGTTGCCAACACATTCTCCAACAAATGCCACGAAAGACTACATTATTTCATGCAGATTGGATCCGAATCTTTGGATGATTAAACCAATGAGTAAGATCTTCATTTCCTCACGTTTCAATCCGAGTAATAACAATACAGGTCCGAAAAAGTCCGAATAAAAACAACAATGGTCCCAAAACGTTATGCGCGAATAGAATGGAGAAATAAAAGTACTTTTGCTCTAATTCTCTTCTATCGTTTCGCGGAGTTCGCTTTTCTCTCTGGAGCATATTCTATCATTCGAAGACTGTTATTTGTTTGGAAATGGGTTAATCCAGTTGGTTCTCCCTAAATAAATACCTTTGTTGCTGAAGAAAAGTATTTTTCCGAGTGCCTCATGTGGAAGAAATGGGAAACAAAATAAAAAAACACCTTCAGAGCCCATGGTCGTTTGAAGCAAAACTTCAGAATAGCTGCATTAATCTGTAAAACTCTTGAAACTTAAAATAATGCGTTGATACTAAAAGTGATAAAATCTGCATAGCCTTTCTCTCCCAAGACTAGATAATCTCTGCTTTGGTAAATTATTGAGAGAATGCGCCCAACGAGTAATATGATTCTGAAAATCACATAGTTAATTTATTACTTATTTGGCTTTCATATTTTCAGATAAATGAATTAAAAGTTTCTTTCGCATAAAGCAGGATACTGGGCATTTAGTAAAAAGCACTAATTATATAAAAAGGAGAATTTATATCGATATATTGCACCTTATGTATTCATATCGATAAAAAAAACATTAGTAGAAAACAGACGCAGCATTTTATTAAAGAAAAGAAAATAATTTGAATAATGAAGTGTACTTTAAAAACTTAAATTTTAAATTGATAAAAGGCTTATTGCTTAATGATATGACTACATGGTTTAATCCGCAAAAATGAATGGCAAATCTCCTTTCTAAAAATGACACCCTATTTTAGCATTTATAATGCTTTGAACATTATGTTGCATAAATTTTCAGTTAACATAATCCACTGTAATTAAACGATCACTGTACTATTTCATGATATTTGGGTTTTGTTTACATAATTTCTTAAGAGGCTTTAGAAAAAAAATTGAAATATCTTTTTACTCAAAAGTAATTTACAACACTTTTTTGAAACATGATAAATATAGACATTGCTGCAGCACTATTCAATTTTCACTTTGTTTCGTAATTACAGGCATTTGCTTATTTACTCTCTGGCTTTCTATTTATTTTCCCCGGATAAAAAAGAAAGGTTCCAAAAGTTCTCAAATAAAACACAAAGGCACTGAAAGTTTCTAAAATCGAAGACGGGAAAACTAGACATTTAACATTTCAAAAGCACAATGGAAATAATACGAAATCGAAAGCTAAACATGAAAGAGAAACTTAAGCAAAAAAGTAGGTAAAAGAGCAAAATAATAGCTTTTCATAATTTTTGTTGAAAGGCTTCGAATTATTAACTAAATTGAAATCTCAAAGTATTGAACTAGAATTTGACGTAATACAATTCATGCATGAAATAACGGGCACAACAAAATGAATTTATTTATAAGATATATGTAAATTAAATGTCTCAGTTAATCCTCAGCAGTATTTAATAAAGAAGAATGGCCACACATATGGATTTGGTCTTTTCATAGCTGTGTGTCTCATATTTCCAAATTTTCAGTTATTATTATAAAGAGTTCAAGACGAAATTTTGAAAACTTAAAATATTTACATCATTTTGTAATTTTTCTTAATATTTACTTGTTACTTCAGCATCAAGCATGTCAGTATTGAACTTCAGCAAGCGTTATATTTTGTATAGCTCCGAAAAAGAAAAGCTTGTTTTTATACATTATGTGTTTCTAATATCAAATGTGTCTTTCTAATGCTTTCCTGATGGCATTTGGGATGGCTTAGTTTATATACGTTATACGCTATTTTCCCCCTCCTTTGTGCATGCTTTATGGCGTAAATAGACGCGGGAGGGCCAGTGTTCGAATCCCGACGAGGCATTGTACAACATTATTTATCATTGTCTTCAGTTTCCTAACATAAAAAAAAAAAAATTCTAAAGGGCTCTACAGCTTAAATGCGTTTTTCTTGTATTAAAAACTTTTAATAAGTGCGAAAATTCATAATCAACACAACAAACATTCACCGTTATATTTAGTATTTTGGAGCGGAAAATTTTGCAATCAACATACCCAAATAAGATCAATCATGCAACACGAAAGCAAAATTATTTACTGCAGGATTAAAAATCCTTAGAATATATTGTTGCAAATGGAACTGAAGTATTAGTTTTCAGACAAGAAGTTATAAAAAGAGATTGAAAAGAAATATCTCAAAGAATATAGTATTTGTAAAACCGTACGCCCTACATGTTTTAAAACCAGTTCCCTCAATACCTCGTAAGAGTAGTTCTAATCTCGGAAGTAATAGTAATCTACGTGATAAGAACAATAATAAATGCTTCTAAATGCAGAATGAAAGTTTTTAAACTTTCTACATTTTATTCAAAATTGTTTTTCTGAATAATACCTAAAATTTTCTGTAATACGAAAACATACAGTGTGTTCATAATTTATTCACCGGATAAAGATATGCTTTAAAAGATACATAATAAGCGACAGATAAAAAAGACTAAATTTTATTTAGCACATCAAAGAATTTTATAGTAATACACTTCAATATGACCACAATGTGCTGCTCGAAGAATATAAAGTATGTTCCCCCCTGTTGTTGTAAAGAGTTGATGCTTTCGGTCAAAGAATATTTACAAATGAATTATGGTAGACACTTACTGATTTGGCTTCATAAGGACTGGAAAAACTTTCCCAAGGAACTGATTTGCTCTGGTAATAGTTTCTTCTTGATTCAAATTTTGAGAATTTCTCATTTAGTTCGGATTAATCTGTTTAGAAACAAACGAATGTTTAATTGTTTGTTAGATCAGTACTCTTACTGAATGTTTTTTAAAATTGCAATTCGTTCCCAAAACCTGACAAAAGGCATTCGTGACATTGAAAGTAACAAGACTAAATTGTCTGCTTTCCAATAGATATAAAATCTTAAACCAAACCAAACGAAATATCCTTAATGTATTTTAAACAAAATCTAACAAAATGCTTCCCTAAAATAAGAAACATTTTATCGATTGTAAGCTGACAAATATTTGAAAATAACTGTTTGCTTCCCAAGTACGATAAAAACTTCTATTGCTTAAAACACTTTTTTTCAAATGCATACGTCTCGTGTTTCTTTTGGAAATGTGTATACTTCTAGAGTACCTCATGAAGAGATAGAAAAACTTTGAAGTATAACAATGAATATTCATACACATGTTAAATCATGTATTCATAAATTATCTAAGTTGATAAAAATATGGCATAAATTGTGTAACACATCCTTTAAATCTTAATCAGTAGGCTGTAGAATCAGTAAGATCGGTACACTTATTTACCATTGCGCAGTTCATTAATGATTATAGTTACTCTATAAAGTTACAGTCATCAAGTCATCTGTTTTCTGCTTTTGGTTTTAACAGAGGTTAAGAAGAAAAACCAGTTTTGAAAGTTTGTGAAGATCAGTTTTAGTTTCTTTGAGCAGTCAAGGCATATTTCGAAATGTTTTAGTGTACTCTGAGAGTATACGAAAAGTTTAGGTGGGCACATCTTCCGACAAATCGTGAAAAGGGCTTTGGACAGACAATATTCTTGTCTCGACATTTCTGTTCAATAAACGAAATTTATGTAAGTTTTAAGACAGAAGATGTGGTAAAATAGTTATTAGATAACTGTCATTTATTTTATTAATAAATACACAAATTACTGTGACCATCAAATAACGTTATGACAATTTATTATCTGCATACATATTATGTTTTTCAAAAATACAAGAAATTCTAATGCAACAAAGTTAAGTTTTTTTTACATAAATTGTAATTTTCCTTAACGTACAATCATTTTTATTTCTTTTTTCACAGAGGAAGATACAGAGAAAAGCGTCTTTGTCCTTTTAGATGATGAGGAATACGAGATTAGTTTCATTGACCCACCCACGATAGCTGAGACACCGGTAGGTAATATATTTTGTTATTCAAATGTATAAATATCGAGTAAAATGCATAAAATGAGGTATTTACTGAAATATAAGAGGCTCTCGAATGTAAGATTTCCCTCACTTATTAAAATTTGATAAATAATGCTGTAGAATGCTAAGCGTGAATATTTAATGATCATGATCCTGATTAGAATTCATTTGTTTGTGACTGCAACAAAAGGCGGACTACCTAATTAAATGCAATATTTTACCACGGCATTAAAACAGAGTTCAAGAAAAATTAATGATACATTATTACATATTTGTTTCCAGGTATAACAGCAACTGATATCGGGAATGCAGGCCTAACTCGAAATTATTCACCGTGTTTATTGTAATAGTTATGCAGTTTACGGTAATTAACTGTGTTTTGTTTAGTACTTAATCAATATAGTTATTTTATATAACAGGACAATTAAACTTCTTCTTCTCATTTTGCAGTTTCATTTATTAAAATACCTAATTTTGAGACTTACAAAATTTTAGAATATATATATAGTATAAAAAAGGGAGGTTATTCGAGTAAATGCAGTATTTTTATAAAAATCTATTATGTTCAGATCAACCTCTCTTAAAATTACCCTCATAAAATATTTATAGATACTGCAATGCTTACAATTCGGTTATATGTTGATAAGGCCATGATAAAATAAAATACACCTAACGCATTTGTAACACCTCTTTAAGGACAAACTAAACAGTATATTCCTATAATGCTCAACATTCTTTTATGAAAATCTTAACTTAATAAACATGTGATGCTCTAATTTGAATTCACAGGTTATTAGTATTAATTTAATGGTAGTTATTTAATGGTATAAAATTAGCTGAAATATTTGCGTTGGTACCCATGCCCTTTAAGTCTGATTTCTTGTTTTTTGCTTATTTTAAAACCATTTCTTAAAGTAATTTTATTCTTAGAAAATATGTAATGTAAAATGTTAAAAATGTCGTTCCTTTGATCTTGTTATTAGTCTGAGATGACGCTGATTAAATTTTATCCAAATTTAAAAACGCATTTTATTGAAAAACTTGATTAATTTTTCCTGTTATTCAATTAACTGGCTTTTCCTCAAAAATAACAGCTAAATTTGTTGCTGTTTTCTGTTTACTAAGCATAAGAATATGAAAAAGAACTTCAGTTTATGGAAGAATATTCTAGCAAAAGATCCAAAGCTGAATTTTTAAAATGATAACACATGAAATTGTACACAGTTTAAGATAGGACTGCTTTTTATTTTTTAATAAAAAATAAGAAAACAGTAATTGAAAACTAGGAAAAAACTTAAAGATTTGACTTCACTCGCATTATCACGTTTTAGCTGAAAATGCAGTTTAAGGAATTCGCTTGATTAAATGTATTAGTCGCTTCGGGCGCAGTAATGTAATAATCATATTTCTGCGCCTTGTCACGCATGAAAGAGTTCATAAAATAATTAATTATGTATCAGAGTGTATACATTCAAGAACATTGAAAATAGCGCATTAAGAAGAGAGCATTGGACTGAAATGAAATTTAATACGCATAGCAATGCTGGTGAGATGTTCACTTGGTCCCAAAATTAAGACCATTTAACGAATACAGTGTGTACAATTAGACAGATATAGAGCGACTTCACTAGCGCGTCGAAGCGCCTCCTGCTGCAGTGCCACAATACGCTCCGGCATTTAGATGATTAGACGTCTGATTTTGTCTTGAGGCAGATCGGCTCATAAATCGTGAACACCCACCTTCAAATCATGTACAATGTGACACGGCGGTAGCTGGCGTTTCAGATGGTCTCACACATGTTCTGTAGAGGACATGTCCGAGGAGCAGGCTGGCCATGGAAGAGTTTCAGCATGACGTAGGAAGCATCTTGAGCTGTATGCGGACGACCATTATCTTGCTGAAAAATTGCTCCTGGAAGACAATTACCAGAATTAGAGCGGACCAGCTATCAAATTCTGTACCTCCCCGACAGACCATTACCATTTAGTCGCGGGCAGTGTGCCGCACGACAGCTTGGATCGAATTGTACCGTTCCTAGAGCGTCCCCAGAACGAACCGGGTTTCATCATTATGTACCATGTTTTGCCAATCTGTGGCATTCCCCGTCGCTCTGGCGCGGCACCTCTGTAGACGGAGTCACTGATATTTCGATGCTAGAGCCAGTACACGAAAAGTGCGCTTGGATTCCAGATTCGCATTCATAAGGCGTCTGGAAATGGTTTATGGAACAACTGGCAACAATACATCTAACAGTATCTTGGAACGAGTCACTGTGGGATGCACGAACGCTTGTCGCACGATCCTTCGATTCTCTCGCCTCGTCGTCTTCTTGGCCGCATCAGACCAGTTCTCCGCACGTGGGTACAATCTCGTGTCCACTACTCCCAAAATATGGCACACTCCAAAAGACAACCTGGCGAGTAACTCGGCGTGACAAACAGCCTGTGGTTTTCCTGCCGATGATCTTGCCTTTCCCAAACTCGATTAACTGTGAGATCCCATTTCTAATTGCAGCTTCACTGTAGGGTGTATGGTCATGCGCACTGGCACCAAACTTAGATCCTTTACATATTGGATTTTACACTTTTTTTGTTTGCGAAGTTTTGCGATTGTGCCTTTCTTCCTTCTTAGTGCAGTATTTTCAATGTTCGTGAGTGTAATATATGGGTATTACAAACATTTTTTATTACAAACGCTCATGCAAACTATTAACGGAGAGTATTATAAATTAAAATATACTTAAAGTACATCAATTAGACAAACATAGTTAAATATTTAAATAAAGATTCTAATTATTAAAACATTAATTTATTGCCATTAAATCATTCCTATTTCTTTAATTGTATGATTTCTGCATTAGCTTATTTACTTACTTTCACCTATTTGTTCACAGAGTGATGAACAATTGGATTCAGATGCCTATGTCGTGGTATATTCAATAACAGATCGCTGTTCCTTCGAAAAGGCTGTAGACTATTTATTTAAACTTCGTGAAAAGGGTTGCACAATGAACAAAGCAGTTATACTGGTGGGCAACAAGTCGGATCTTGTAAGGTCAAGAGCTATTACAGCAGAAGGTGAGTCTGCTTCTTCCATACTTTTATGTCATTTTTAAGAGCCTCCGGTATATTTGTAATATAGTATGATTACATATAAAGTGTAAGGAGCTTCTAACGCAATGAAGTACATGCAGAGAAAACTTTTAAACAATAATATCTCCCCTTTTCAATGGTGGAGTAAAAAAGGATGCTTTAATTCTTATTTTGTCTGAGTGAAGTAAAGTAAAGTGTTTAAATGCACTTTGTGTGAAAGTAAAACTTTTTGTGTGCATTTTAAATCCCAAATATAAGCCATGATTACTTATTTTCCAATTTATATTATCCATTTCCTTTTTAATTGGATTACACTTACAATAATATTCATTTAAAAAGGAATTTTATATATGAAAAAACCCAAACTTATACTCTACCAGGAATTCCAACTGAGAGAAAAAATGAAGACTTCAGTGCTGTTTATTTAAAAAGTAATTAAAGTTAATACAATTCAAGCTTTTTTTTCATAGAGTTATTTTATTTTTAGAATGACTTGTGTTTTAAAAGTATGTAAGTTACATGGATTTGAAACGATTCTATAAAGAAAATTATTGATATTTTTACCTAACTCTTCTGTGAGAAATCAATCAACATTTGCTTTGCTTGAAACTAAAGACTGTTGAACATTTCAATACGCTTATCTGTAATCACAAACGCTTCTCTGAAGCATGCTCTTTGGAACGGAGAAAACATCACTCTCTATTTAACAGACTTTTAAGCCCATTGAACTTCTGAGAAACATGCTTATTTCCAGTATTATGTTCATTAAATTTCGAGCTTAACTAAACGTCACAAAATGCTTTTAACTGAGTTACGTTTTACAAAAAAGTTCAGACAATTGGAATTAGTGATTTTTAGTGCCATTTTTGAAAGCCTGACAACGAAACTTTCTTCTTCAGCTGCAGGAGTCAAAATGAAGAAACAGAAAGTCGGTGCTCATGCGATATCCACGAAAAAAATACACTAGAAAATTCGAGAAAGTTTTCCAACAAAAGAAATCACAGCCGCTGCTGCCCTTTGTTGATGAAAAACAGAAACGGTTCTGATATAATTTCTTTAAAAGTTGTGGGTATATTCGGATTGGAATTTCGATTATTAACTACAACAGGTTAATAATTCAAATTTCAATCCAAATTTACCTACAACTTTTAATCATCCAATTCCTTTTTCTGATATTAAAGACGTGTCAGTTAAGCAAGAAATTATGCATGTACTCACATTTAATTATTTGTTACTAGATATTAAATATATATAGGGTATTTGAAAGCACTTTTTGGCGGCCTTTAATTTGAAATAATTGATTGTACACATATACCTACAATTAACACGATTGTTTAAAGAAGCATACATTCATATTATAGCATGTTTAGATGTTATAATGTGAATGCATGAATGTTAAACTTTGTATAAACTATGAAATTTAAAATTTCGTTCGCCCACCCAGAATCCACATGATTATATTAGTAAAATTTTATCCTTGCGTAAACGGTAAAATAAAATTTAAATTTTAAAATGGCATAATATGAATAACTTTCTAATTCAAAAGATTTTTATTTTTGAAAGAATATATTTGCAACAAATAACTGCGAAAATAAAAGTCGCATAAATGACTTGATGTAGACGCTGTATTTAGTCTCATTCCACTTCGATGGACATCTAGGTTCCAATATTGGCGTTGATTATGTTGCCAAACTCATATGCATTAGAATTATATTATACATTTTGAATAATCATCCGACAATAAAGGGCAATATTGTATGTGTTTCACAGAATGTTTTTAAAATTGGCAATGAAGAGAATTAGAATTTAAAAGATGTCACGATCAGCTGGGTTTGTATTTTTTGTGTGTTGGTGCAAAGCAAAATTTTTGTGTTCATTTAGTTGTATATTCATTTTGCGAAACTCGTTATTAAATTCAACAGAAATGGATCCCTATTTCCAAGGCCACGAACATTTCGGAAAATTGCACAATGTTTCAAGAATAGATTCTAATATTTTTGGAAAATACGCAAAAATTCACTACCGCTCAGCGAATTTTGCCCTATTTTACAATAAAATTACTGATTTGATCCTGATTAATGACAGTTGAAGGCTGCAAAGTATAAGCAAGATTTCTTAGCGAAATTATCAAGGAGGTCGTGACTTGGAATAATTGCATATGCTTACGTTTTAAACTATAAAATTACAAAGATAACTTAAAGACGTCAAATGACTTTTCGTCCCATCTGTTTGCTGTTCTTATGCGTAAAGAATTTCTTCGAATTTTATCAAAATCAGAATATAAATTTAACAAGCCTAAACCTTGGTTCACCTCTGAATAAGCGTTCGCTAAATATATCAGCCAGCAAAAGCTTTTGCTGGCAAGCTACATTGCAATAGCACAAAATTTAAAGTAGAGTAACGAACGGCCAAATGGTCTCTCGCAAAAATTTAGCAACTAGAAGCTTATTTATAATTTCAACTAATTTGCATTCTGATGAAAGATGACTAAATCAGAAGTTATAGGAAAGCTAAAATAATAAGATAATTGGGTTAGTTAAAATAAACTTACAAATGAAAACTGTATTTTCTAACCAATATTTTCTTTCTATTATTCTAAAGGTATAACACGCGAATATGTGAGACCAAAAGTTAAAAATTCATATTACGCCTCAAATTAACGAAACTTTTGGCAGCTGAAACTATTTAATACAGGAAATTGAAATCTTAAAATAAATATAAAGGATTTCGCTACGCATATAAACATTACGATCCATACTTTTGTACTTCCTTTCACCAATTTAGAAATCCGTATTTATAATCCGTTGTTTTCGTAAATTTACCGTTTGATAACGTTGTATTAATACATTGTGAATAATTAACTTATTTTAGTATCACTTTCATGAGGCAGACGAAATCACCTCAAAAATGGCTTTAACATATATTGATGCAGTATTATAACAACAGACTTAGACAAAATAATTTGAAAGCGAAAGACAGCTTTTTCATTAAAATGAAACTTTTCTTATATATATATATTTTGTTTTCTTTTATTTTTCATTTTGGCCTCCAAATAACATTTCAGTTTAATGTAAGAGTATTAAATTGAAGTTTCGATACTATTTATATTGAGAACTGTAAGAAATGTTTCCTAAAATAATACGCTATTCTTATTCTATTTAAAAAAATTGAGAAAAATAAAAAGCGAAAAGGAGAGAAAAGTGCAGAAAATAAGAATTTTATTGTGTAGATGGATTTAGTTGGAACGGAGAAACTTTTATTCTGTAAAGGATTATCGATTGTTGATATTTTTGCCTTTTTTTACAGTTTCTATGATTTCGAAAGGAACAACAAATTGTGTACTGCTCCAGAAGCACTTATAAAAAGTGCTTTATTTTAATTTTATATACTCAATACTAATGAAAATCAATTGATTAGTAATCCAAGGTTAGCGTTGTGACGTATCCAGTAGACTTCACCTTCGCTACTCAGAAACGTAGAGAAATTTACGCCCGTTCTTCCGCTATATGGGGAAAGGATTGCAACGAGTTGCTTCAAAAGCTATTCTACAGAGTTTCCAATTGATTAGGCAACTATACCCGAATAAAGAAGACAAGGATTTAACAAGATTGAAAAATAATCTAAGGCTGAAAATAATTCAGATTGTCATTCCTGGCGCGAGCAATCAATCTAATTTGATATTTGCAATAATAGTAACGTCTCATGCATTCAAAATCGTAAAAACAACCTTGTATTTAGCGTAAGTATATTGAAACACTCAATCGATTTCGAGGGCAGCTAACGGTCCCTCCTCATCAGGAGAAAGAAATGCCTAGAAAGAAGAAAAATAAAGGAGAAGGAGTCTCAGAAACACGTGGTCCTTATCAGCACTGCACGTGGTTATAACCGGATTTTTAATCAGAGTTACACTGGCCGCCTACTTTTACTGAGCCAGGCTATCTGATCAAACATGTAACACAAAGGACAAGAAAAATTAGCGAAGTTAAAAATAGGGAGCGAGGGGCAACTGCACCTTCACGCTCAAAATCTGAACTTCGAATAATGGAAAGCAACCACTGAACTCCTCGCGTTTGGTACTATCAGAGGGTATAAAAATCCGTTCAGTGGTTGCTTTCCATTATTTGAAGTTCAGATTTTGAGCGTGAAGGTACAGTTACCCCTCGCTCTCTATTTTTAACTTCGCTAATTTTTCTTGTCCTTTGTGTTACATGTTTGATCAGATAGCCTGGCTCTAAAAATCCGGTTATAACCACGTGCAGTGCTGATAAGGACCACGTGTTTCTGAGACTCCTTCCCCTTTATTTTCTTCTTTCTGGGCATTTCTTTCTCCTGATGAGGAGGGACCTTTAGCTGCCCTCGAAATCGATTGAGTCTTTCAATATACTTACGCTAAATACAAGGTTGTTTTTACGATTTTGATTGTCACATTAACGTGTTTCTCTTCTAGTCTGGTCTCATACATTCCCTAAAATTTTCATCGACGGATATTTTTCATCTATCCATACTCTGTCATGTCTAGGGATTAAAAGTACGAGAAAAATACTCACACAAAGATTTATTTGACCAAATATCAATAAACGTTGTCAGTTATGGTGTCGGTCATGTCTAAAATGTCAACAGTCTAAAGTTCAACGATATATACAAACTGCACTAATAGATTTTAAAGTTACATCCGAACGTTTTCAGCACGTCCACATTGATATTGTTGGGCACGTATCTACAAACCAAGGCTTCAAATATTTATTAAGGATGACAAACCGTTTTTCAAGATGGGTTGAAGCATTTCCTGTAACAAATCATTCAGCAGAAACAGTTGCAAAAGGCATGATTTCAATCTAGATATATCGTTTCCGAACGCCTTATGATGTTACTTCTGCTGAAGGACGAAAATTTGAAAGTCAACATTTCTTATATTTGAGCAAATATGTTAGCTTCCAGAACACTAGGACTAGTACGTACCACCCACAATCGAGTGAATCAATTGAACAGCAGCACGGAACTACAAAAGCTAGCCTGAAGGGCT